CTGGCAGAGCGGTTTGCATCGCGCCCGGTCGCCCTAGTCTCGCCACCCCCTCCTTTTCTGCAGCCGCGCGTTGGCCTAAGAACCTGAATAGGAAGCAAGCCTGTCGACAGACTTTTCAAGTGTCAGATAAACGTTCCGAGCGCATAACACGCCGAGTGCCTTTCACACGGATCTGCCCCATGAGGCCTGAAGTGCTAACACACACACAGATGTTATGGCCTGAAAGAGACACGCGTGTCAAAACGCTGCAGGGGGTTCGCATCCAAGTGTGGTTAGGTCATCGCCTACGCCCTACACGGATAGACGCTTCCGGCCTACCCTGTCACCATCCACCTGAAGTGCCTGGCTTCTGCTGACTCAAGGGTGTTTGCATGTTAATGCCATGTCTTGCAGTAAGACGACAGTTTAGAAAGAGTTTCTCTTTGCCGCACACTCCCTAGACTTCCTATTACAGATGTGTGTTCTCAGCTCATAAAATGGCTAACAGCTCATTCGCAAGTCACCTCCTTTGATAGTTGCAGATTTTACAGCAAGTTGTGTCAGAAGACAAACTGCCTCAAGAGACTATTAGACTGCGAGCCTTTCAAAGAGATGAACTACAGAAGGTTTCCTAGAAGTTTTTTAAAGTCCTGGGTTCCCTAGAGGATAGACATGTTTTTAAATGTAACCACCACTGTACTAGGAAGAAATCCACACTGCCGATTTCTCTGTTTCTTTGCCTGAGCATACAGCTCCCATCTCTCTCTCCGGATCACAGAGAGACAGTTTTGTTAATACACAGCAATTACATTTTTGATCATAACAATCATTAGCACTTATGCACCACTTTACAAATGTTAATTAATGTTCAACACCCCAGAAGGCAGGTAAAGATTATCTACTGAATACGCTTCCCCTGGTGCTGGAATCTTAGAAAAATGTAGGGTGTGATTTTAAAAGCAAACTTTTACAGCTTCTCTTTAAAGTCTTTCCGGACAAAAAGTTTTTCAAGTATCGAAAAGGGTGTTACAAGGAGGAGGGAGAAAAATTGTTCCCCTTGGCCTCTGAGGCTAGGTCAAGAAGCAATGGGTTAAACTGCAGCAAGGGAGGTTTAGGTTGGATATTAGAAAAAACGTAACAGTCAGGGTAGTTGAGCACTGGGATAAATTGACAAGGGAGGTTGTGGAATCTCCATCATTGGAGATATTTAAGAGTAGGTGGGACAGACACCTGTCAGGGATGATCTAGACAGTGCTTGGTCTGCTGTGAGGGCAGGGGACTGGACTTGATGACCTCTTGAGGTCCCTTCCAGTTCTAGGAGTCTATGAATTAACCTCTGCTCCGTGTTTCTGAATGTTTCCGGATCATTTTATGTATGTGTGGGAGCTGCCAGAAACAAGATGCTAAGGCCTATCCTAAAGTCTAACTGTAAAGTGAGAGAACAGAGACAAGGATGGAGGAGAAAAGCGAATAGCAAAGTACAGGAGGCTTGCAACGCGATTCATTCCTGAGGAAGCGTCGCAAGTCGGGGGCGTAGGCGCCGTCGTAAATGAGGGCCAAGGACGTAAGTCGGGAGTTTCCGGCCCCTTTCCCACTTACAAAAACGGCTGTAAGTGCTGGGGGTTGGAACTCAGGCGGTCGTATTGCGGGGGCCTCCTGTAGCGAGCCAGTAATCGCGTTCTTGGCTCCAGGCTGAGAATACAAAGTTTCACGGTTTCCACAAGCTTTGGGCAGGGCCTTTGCCCCAGACACAGCCTCTACAAATCCTCCAGCAGCTTGATTGTTACTTCGAGAGGAGGATCTTGGAGCCTAGTGGGATGGGAAAATCCCTGTGAACTAACTGAAGGGGGCTCCCACACCTGGGGGGTGGGGGGGACAGGACAGTTGCCCAGCTGTCTGCAGAAGCGCAACACGGAAGAAATTCTCCTCCCTTGCCCTGCAGCCTTTGCAAAGAGCATGGCTGTTAGGAGGGTGAGCTGGGCTCAGCGAGGAACAAGGTTACCTGGGTGTCCTCTCCCCGTGGCCGCTGCTGCCCTGAGGAATCCAGGCCCGTCCTTTCCCTGGGTCACTTCCAGACCTTGCTCAGAGCCTGCTCTGCCACAGCATGGCCTCACAGGGCAAAGGCAGCTTCTTCTGGGGAGAAGCCCTTCTTATCCAGCAGTGCCACAGGCAGGTGCCATCCAGCCTAGGCCCAAATCCTCCCCACTCTCTCCAGCGAGCAGCCTGGCCTCCCAGCAGGAGGAAGGACCACGTGGGGGAAGCCGCCTCATGCTCCGTGCCACAAGGCTGCTGAAGGCCTCGGGCTCTATTCCTAAGCCAGGGGAGAACTCAAACCTCAGACCGCCCAGCCTGGGAGGGAAAGTGTGCCACAAGGCCAAATAGCAGCGGTGGTCAGAGGGGGGAGCCTGCGCTGTATTTAACCCAGAGGGGGGGGGGTCCTGTATCCCGCACCAGTGCCCAGATGAGCCGTGCTCTTGATTCTGTCCCTCCATACCAACACTTTGCCCCTCCTCTGCAGGGCAGAGCCCCGCAAGCTGCCTCCACCCCCCACCCCACGAGAAGCAAGAGCTCCCACAGCTCCCTTTCAGACCCCGAAGCGTGGAATGGCAGCCATCAGCTCTGACCCAGGGACACGTCTGACAAGGCTCCCTAGTCCCCCAGAGCAGGGATGGCCACCCAGCGATAGGAGGAGTCATCCGTCCCACGGCATAGGCTTGCTGCTACAGCTGAACTCCAACCCCCATGATGTGCCAACGAGACTGTACCACACGCCGCTCTTCAGGTCCTTATTAGCGGATCTTCTCCTCCCCCCACCACCAAGAACAAGGTGACACCCCCCCCCATGTCGTAGCCACAACTAAGGCTGTAATAGTGCAGTCGATTAATGGATTAGCAAAAGCTTATCGGTTAATGCTATAGATTGCACACATCCCCCGACCCCCGCCAGTAAATTTAGCAGCCTGGCTCAGTCCTGGCTCGCGCTGAGTCCAGGACCTACCCCCGCTGAGGCTCTGCATTTAAAGCATATTAGAAGCCAGGCAGCCTGGCTCAGTTTGGGCTCACGCCGGGACTGGGAGCTCAGCGTCCTCCCACCGGACAAGGGCTGCTGCCACCCCGTGCTGCTGCCTCTGCATCAGAGCAGCGGCAGGGCGACAGGCAGCTGGTCCACGAGGGGGGCTGGTTTTTAAAACTGGCTTCCCTTGGACCAGCTCCCGCCTGCAACCGGTGGTAGCGGGCTCCTCTGGAGTGGGGCTGGAGCGCACTGGCCCCCGGTCCCACCCCCAGGGACTACAGAATAGTCGAGTAACTGATAAGAATCCAGGAGGTTACTTGACTGTTCAATTAACCGATATTGCACAGCCCTGATCACAGGTGGGTTTGTGAGCCCTCTTCCTAGTTAAGATCTTTGTGCAGACCGGCCACGTTCTCCTCCAAGACATCCCCCCCTCCATCAGCCGTCCCAATCCCACAGAGCAGCCAGCTCGCCAGCAGGCCCACCGCTGCCGCCTTCCTTCCCACCAGGCTCCGCTTCCACACGGGACTCTCCTTCCCCTGCCCGGTGAGCCATTCCATCCCTGAACTAGATGCTCCCTGCAGATGCCAGGCAGCACAGCCCCGTGACTTATCAGGAATCAAATGTGGGACCAGGTCACTAACAAGAGGAGGTGAATCAAAACCCAAGGCCGGGGGAGAACTCCGAGCCTTTGCTCCTGGTGCATCTCCCAAAAGCCTTGCCTGGGAAGGCCAAACACGCAAGACGGCCACACAGCAGCGCAAGTTGGAGCGGTGAGCCCCTCCTCCCCAACAAGCAGAACAGTGACCTTTAGGCCCCTTTATCTTCTTCCGCTAGCCACCAGACAACAGCTAGGGCAGCAGGAACACCAGACTAGGGACTCTCAATCCTGAATCCACACTCTAGGTCAGAGGCCTTTTGACAACAGAGCACTTGTGGTTACCAGTCACATGGGGTGACTCAACAGCAGTATGGGAAAGGCAGGCCAGCCTCCTCGCTCCTCATATCGCCACTTCCCCCTGCTCCGAAGCCACTGAATAGATCAGCATCAGCAGGCTAACTGTCCCGGCCGTGCGCCGGCCCTGGGGACGTCAGGGAACCGAACCCGAACGGCAGAGATTAATTTGGATCCACACAGGGACCTCTGAGCAGGGGGGTTTGATTCCAGGCCACAAAGCGCACGGATACTCCAGCCTTAGGCGATCAGGAGCCAAACGAGCGTTCCACATTATCCCACAGAGCCACGGCGGCCGTGACTTCCCTGTTCACGGTTATCGTGATCGTACAGGATGTATGTTTTTTCCTCACAACAAAACAACCGACCAAGTATTATTTGATCAACGACAACTGGTTAATAACACATCCAAAGCCTCCGGCTTAGTTAATAATTCAATCATTCAGGGGTTTGGTATTCTGTGCTGTGGCCGCAGTTGACACGTTACAAGAGCTACTAGCAGCTCGCAAGCCTCAGTCTGAGTATCGCTGATCTGGCAGAACGAGGTGATCCCCCCCCACCCCAAGAATGATCCTCTGGCATTGAACCTCACCATGCACAAGAGCCTTCCTCCGACCCATGCAGCCGGCTGACCCGGACCGGCTGAGCATGCCCTAAGATAGCAAAGTCCCTCGCCTTTCCTAGAGGCAGAATACTTTGTACAGAGCATGCCGCGTGACTCATGATCCCTGCCAGCTCTTAGGGAACCCTCCCTCCCGCCTTTGTAGTACCCGCCATCTGGTTATGTTACTGGGCCTTCTGGGCACGCCCAGGGCTCACCAGTCCCAGAGCACGGCAAAGTTTGACCACTGTCTGTGCAGAACGGGTGCTTTCAAAGCGCCGTGCCAACGGCAGACGCACTGTAAAGACAGAGGGCACTTCTCCACCATGTCCTGCAACCAAGGGATCAAAACAGCCTCCCGCTAAAGCCTCATGCCTCACCCCATTTTCCCAACATCGCTCGAAACCTATCGAAAAAAATCATAATCCCACTACACAGCCACATCTACATACCTTCTTTATTGAAAACTACCGTAGCCCGTCTGCTTCCAATTTGCAGTCACCCCCATTCAAACTAAGACCCCCCAGCGTGGCCGCCTCATTAGCCCTTCACACTGGCAAAACAATTTTCAGAAGGCTGCAGTGGGAACGTAGTTGTTTGAGCCTCTGATTCACACCCACTCCACCGAGCTCTCTGATCACAGCAATTTTGAGTCTAGCCTCCCCAACTCCCCTGGAGTTTCCTGTCTGACACCGACCACTTCCCTCCCAGCCCAGCGCCTGCAAGTCAGCAGAAAAAAAAAACACCCTGCCTAAATATTCAGGAAGGCTGATTTCCATGCCATCGATCAGCTGCAACACACCAACATGCAGACTGGCAACTCAAGGTCTCACAACTGTGTGATGAAACCTCAAGGTCTGATGTAATTAGTCACTGTTTTCATTAACAATCCCCAGCAGCTGCCACCTTGAGTTTGGAGACAGACCTTAATGAGCAGACTCTCAGGGCCTCATGTAAAGATTAGAATTAAACATGCAACAGATTAAGTTTAACTGCAAGTAGGTTTAAGAAACACAAGATCTGCTATTAGCCCATTACGGGTCTGGCCTCTGGCAGTGGCCAGTATCAGATGCTTTCAAAGGAGATAAAATTCATCTCCTATCCACAAAATACTCCGAGCATTAGGGGGTTCCTGGGCGGAGAACTTTTATGACCCCATCAGGCCTCACGCTAGCACTTGAGATGTTATTATGAAGCCCTGGATGAAATCCAGTTTGCCACTAGCTTCCTGGAATTGTGACTGCCACAGGCTGACTATGCTCCATGCCAAACAGCACTTCCTTTTATTTCATCAAAATTTAATCTGCCATTAATTTTACCAATAGACAACTTATTCACTCGAGAGCTTGGATTCGGTTTGCACACTGCTCAGAATGGGGGAAGTTTGTCTGGGAAGTTTCATGCATCCAGGACAAAGCACCCAGTAAGGAAACTGCTCAGATTTCACTGGATTTTTAATGGAGATTTTAAAAACTCCTCTAACTTGCGTCCTTTACTATAACAGGATCACCTTTCGCTGGGTGCTCAGCTCCTATGGTGAGCCATGTGACACAATCACTTAGAAAGGTTCCGATTTATAAACACGGGAAGAACGTTATTCTGCCTGAACAGTAGAAAGTTCTTCTAAACCAGGGTGAGGAACCTTTGGCCCCCGGCTTGTAAGGATCTGGCCTCCGAGGCTCAGGGCTCCCCCCAGCTTTCAGGAGCCTGTGCTGGCTTTTCAGCCACCCTCTGCCCCACTGGGGGGCTGGAGCACACCCTCTGCCCCACTGGAATCCTCTAGGCTCTGGAATGCAAGGGGGGTGTCACTGAGGGTTTTTTTTTTCTTCTCACTTGTATGTGGTCCCCCGACTGATTTTTCTGTGGGTCAGTGGCCCTCCTCGCGAGACTTTAACCAGCGTCACTGCAAGGTGGGGATAGTTGCGAAAGTCACCACAAAGTTTTGTTTGCGCATGCCGTTGCTGCCAGGGCCAAAGCATACCTTTGCGTCTTTGCTGTCGAGTAGATCAACAGAAGGCGTGCCGTCCTAGGAGCACGGCATTGGTCTGAAAGCTCAAAGACAGGCAGCAGCCATCTCCTTGCACTGCAAAGTTTAAACCGCACTCAAGTTGGGACAATACTCGTCACAGCACCAAGTGAAAAATCATTAGCAGCAATGGCAAAAGCAGACCTATCCAACACACCTGCAGTGCAGGGATTCTAAGAAGCATGGGCAAGGTGCATCCGCAGAGGTCGGGCACGAGGGAAAGCAGGCTTAGAAAGAAGGGAAGCTACTGGTCCGGTTGGACAGGCAGCCCCCTGAAAGAACTGCCCTCCAGCCTTGAACTTAGCTCAGTGTTTCTCCAAAAGGTCCGTGAAACCACCCTAAGAAACTTGCAAACTGGCCGCTCCAGCGTGTTTATTTACCAGCCTCGCAGCTCCCATTGGCTCTGGTTTGCTGTTGGCAGCTAAGAGGAGGAGAACCACGGGCTCCCCAATGGGAGCCATAAGGCTCCACGGCCACGGAGCCGGTAAATAAACACACCGGAGTGGCCGGCTGGCAGGTTTCTCAGAGAGGTTTTGCAGACCACTTTGAGAAATGCTGCACTCCCATAAAAAGCAAGGGCAGCTACATGCAAGAACAGGAAAGTGGAGAACTACAGGTTCCGAGAGGATGACTACGCAGCACAGTGGAAAACCCGTTAACTAATACGATTTTTAACAAGGCTTGATAGCTAATGGCGACAGGACAAATGAGGGTCAATTACAGCCCACTAAGGCTTTTTAAATGTTTGCCCTCAGTACGAACAAAATTGAATTGATAAGTAAGAAAACCATTTCTTAAAATGAGTCATTCTCCTGGTATAAACATAGTCAAACCTCTGTGGAATGTCTCTGCACCCTCAGAAAACGGAAACAATAGGAGTATTTAGAGTTTTTTTTCAAAAAAAGAGTGCCAAGAAAAAAAACAAACGCAGCCTGCAGCTGCGTGGCTCGCTCATTCCCTTGCAGAGCTGAGGGTCACGATATGTTTTGCAACACAAGCCTGTACAAATAGAATATGCCATTGAACTGGCCACGATTCCATGAATGCCAGCCTTTCACGTTACATGTTGTAGATAAAACAAAAAACAGGACTAAGTAGCACTTTCAAGATTCTTGCCATTTCAACCAGAAAGGACATTGTCTCAATGACTTAATTACCTGCATCCTGCTTCAAAAGCCTTTTAAGACTGCACTTGAAAGAGAATCCTCTGAACTGTTATTCATGCTTAAATTCGACACTTTACACTTGAGTCTGAATAAAAAATCTAATTATCATACCCATTACAAAGATAGTTTCCCTAATTATCACCTCTAATATCATTAGCTCACAGATATTTACCTCCCCCCCCCCATTCCCCCTCTGTTCTGAAATTTGATTTGTCCTTTTCATATGTGTTCATTTTTTTAAATTGTATCTTTTGGTATATATGGTTGTGACTATTTTCTTCCACTATTTGATCTGAGGAAGTGGGTCTGGCCCACGAAAGCTCATCACCTAATAAACCATCTTGTTAGTCTTTAAAGTGCTACATAGTCCTGTTTTTTGTTTCAGCTACACCAGACTAGCACAGCTACATTTCAATCATTAGTCCTATGAGTGTGACTATTACTGCACAGTACATAGCTTTATCGGCTGTGGAAGACACCACAAGCTCTAGGGATATTCGTGGCTTATCCTGTCTGGCAAGTGTTGTTAAACGGAGAGAGGAGGGGTTCTACAAGTCAGGAACTGACTTCTGGTGTTTACCAATGATTAGGCGTGACCTTAAGCAAATCGCTTCATCTCTATATGCATTAGTTCCCCTGTCTGTAGACAGGATGTGATACCGCTTGCCAGCAAAGGTCGGGAAGCTTAACTAGTTAATATTTATAATAGCACCCGGAGGTCTTTGGCTGGTAGTGCAAGGCAGCATTAGCAAACGCTGCCTGCTACAGCTTTTAGCTCCACATCTCTCTGCCTCTGCATGCTCCTAATAAATGTTTACTGTCTACAGAGCTCTCCCCTCATCTCCCTGCTCAGTTGGCTCTCCTGTTTATTATCAGGACTGCCAAAAAAAAAATCAGATTATTTTAAGCCACTGAAATGTAACGGCGCCCTTGGCGAATTAGCGCATAAAGCAGCTTTCAAAGGGTTTGATTAAAAACAGAAGATCGTTGACAATCACCAGTTTCTCCCTCCACCCAAACATCAAATTCCATTGTCAATCAAGATTCACAGTGAGAACATTAAACCATAGCATGGCTTCTCTTTTAGACAACGGGTGTCCCCGTTTACTCTCCGTTTTATCTAGTCATCAATAGCTAATGGGGACTATAAGAAAATGTGATTTTACTCATCGGATCTGCCTCTTTCCCCCTGCCTTTTATCTGCTTTGTCTAGCCAGACTGTAAGCCCTTTGCAGCAGGGTCAGTACAGGTTGAACCTCTGTAATCCGGCACTCTAGTCCGGCACAATTTTAACTAGTCAGATGTCTGGTGTGGCCAAGTTTCCCACGGTCCCAGAAAGTTTGTTTACGGCTACCAGTCCTTGTTCTCGGTGTTCTGTGCTCTTGTTTAGCTCTAGTTTGCCCCTAAATGTTTTCCAAGAGCCTAAAGCAGTGGAAGTGTTGGTAATACTACAAGACCACATTGTCCTCCGAAGCAAAATGCAGGACAATGTAGCACTTTAAAGACTAACAAGATGGTTTATTAGATGATGAGCTTTCGTGGGCCAGACCCACTTCCTCAGATCAAATAGTGGAAGAAAATAGTCACAACCATATATACCAAAGGATACAATTAAAAAAAAAAAAAAAGAACACATATGAAAAGGACAAATCACATTTCAGAACAGGAGGGGGATGCAGGGGGATACATTGTCCTCCCATGGTTCAGCAAATTCTCTGGTTTGGCACCAGTCAAGTCCCAATAGTGCCAGACTAGAGAAGTTCAACAAGTGTATCTATGTGGCAGGGGCAATATCTCCATGTACTATTTACTCTTAACTAAGTTAATATTAATTCTCATTTGTAATCCTGCAGCATCTAGAGCAGTGGTCCCCAACCTTTCGTGGCTGGCGGGCGCCCATGGTTCAGCAAATTCTCTGGTTTGGCACCAGTCAAGTCCCAATAGTGCCAGACTAGAGAAGTTCAACAAGTGTATCTATGTGGCAGGGGCAATATCTCCATGTACTATTTACTCTTAACTAAGTTAATATTAATTCTCATTTGTAATCCTGCAGCATCTAGAGCAGTGGTCCCCAACCTTTCGTGGCTGGCGGGCGCCC